GGGGGAGGTTTGCGGTGGGAACTGGCTGGCTGCTTTTACAGTCGCCTATCCATCCCTACCAACACCTAGGTAATGAGAAGTCACAAGTGCACTTCAGAGATCAGGCTAGAAAGATGGATGGGTAGGTTGGACCGACACGGCAGCCAGAACCCAGGGTGCCAAGGCCATGAAGTTACCCAAGATTACCTCTTCTAAGAGGGGCATCATTTCTCAGGTCTTCTCTGGTTCTTAATGGAAATGATTGCGTAACCAAGTTAAAACCTCTGAAATATTGCCTTCATTTTCATTGTGCCATTCCCCTGGCTCAAAGTCTTCTATGGCTCCCCCACCACACCAAGCAAACAAAGTTCAAAATGGTACATTTGTACAGAAGATCATCCTTCACAACCTGCCTCTAATGCGACACTGGACCAGAATCCCTCGTGCCACTTTCCCCCTTCCCTTTGCTCTCCCTACATTTCCGACCCTCTCCCAGCTACCTCCATCAGCAAGTCCCTTCCGCCCTCCTCTCTACCCAGCACGTCCTTGTTTTATAGATTGCTGAGATGTGTTTCACCAAGTCCCATTTCTACAGACTACAAAGTCTTCTCCAACCCAGACCCACCACCTCCGCCACATGAATTTCCTTTTCCTCCCAGCTTAGGAAACAAAATGACTTCTCTCTGCAACAGGCAACCTCCCCTGAAGTTCAGCAATTCTTTTATTTTCTGGAAGATGAACTGCTCCACATCTTCCATGCCTGTGGTTTATATTTCACCAAGTGGTGTCAGTGCTGATATAATAACCTCCCATTTTTATTGAGCAGCACACAATGTAATTGATGACATCTGCTGGCGCTGATATTTTAAGTGAGGGCTATTCTCAGCTCTGCCTGTTCTCGCCATGACTCTCTATATAAATAGCCAACAGTAGCTACACCTGAGGTAGTAAAAGCAGGGCTACTGGGCAAAGATTCTCAATTATACCCCATAAAGCCAAGAGGTTTGCTGAGAGGATTTATCTATGCAGATCAGTTTCCAGGCCTGCAGGGTTAGAGAAAGAGGGAGCAGGGGCAGGGTTCCAATACATATGTCTGCCACTGTCCCTGCACACAACTCGGCCATCAATGCAACGCTGACTCCCAGTGTCCCCTCCCCACTATGGGCTTCTGAGATGATAACTCCATGCCTAGGAGAGAAAAATCCTTGCTTAGATGGTTAAGGAGAAGTCTTGGTGGCCGAGTGGTTACTGGTCTGGCTTTAATTCACATGGTCAGCAGTTCAAAACCACCAGCAGCTCCACAGGAGAAAGATTGGGCTTTCTACTCCCAGTAAACAGTTACAGTCTGGGAAACCAACAGGGGATCATTATGAGTCAAGAGTCAATTTTAAATATAATATTTTTTGGGTGCTTGAAAGCTTCTGTTTTAACCCCCAAATGAAGAGACCAAACTCGCTGCTCTTGAGTTGATTGTGACTTACAAGGGCCCTTTCTAGGGTTTCCGAGGCTATAAATCTTTACTAAAGCTGATGCCCTGAAGGCCTCATCGGTTCCTCTTAAGAGAAGGACCTGGGTTCGAACTGCTGACCTTGCTGTTAGCAGCCCAACGCATAACCAACTACATCAGGAGGGCTCCGTCCAAATGAAGAAAAGCTTTCATTTAGAACTGCACGTGGCAAATGATGCCCACCTCCATCTCTTAGCATTCTCTAATGTACACTATTTAGAATAAAAAATGTCTATCCCCAGTCATTTTTATACTTATTTATAAGTTCATCTGACAGCCAGTTAGGCAACATCTGATCTTATGGGACCAGAACTTATTTCTGGGTTTCTGACTTAAAAAAAAAAAAAGCTTGCTACTATTGCCAGTTGAGGAGCCTTCTAAAGCATAAGCCAGGCAGAGCGCAAGCTTAGGGAGAGGCCCAGTGACCAAGCACCGTGCAGGAATGAGCTCCTTAACATATATGGGTGCCCTTCACAAATGAAGGTGGATCCTTCTAAAGAGCCTTTTCATACCTAATTTTGAGTGGAAACGCAACCCTGATGAGTGGTTAAAGCTCAGCTGCTAACTACAAGGTGGGCGGTTCAAACCCAGCCAGTGGTCCCAAGAGAGAAAGCGATGCCAGGCTGTTTCCAAAAAGATCTCCAGCCTTGGACACCTTTGGGGAAGCTCAGCTTTGTCCTACAGGGTTGCTGCGAGTTGGAAGTGACTCGATGGCAGTGGGTTTTTTATGAAAAATGTCTGAACTAAATGACAAATCCTCTCATTCTTTAACATGTTTTACTGGGATGATTCAGTCATTGTTAGATTTATAAAGGAATGAGTCCCCTTAAAGACTGCAAAGGTATGTCCAATAGACCAGACAGAAACTCCAAAGGAAAGCTTTCCCTGGCACTGGGCCCCCTCTACACAAGCACACATACACGTGCACACTCCAACATAAGACCCCGCCTGTAACATTAGAAGATTCCCTTCACATGTGCAGCTCACATTCTGCTGTAGCTGTTGACGCATTTACTTCCTGTACCCCAACTCTCTCATCTTCCAGAGTAGGCATCACTGTTTGTTTGTCTCCTCTCTCCCTAGCCCGGTCTGGTACTTGTGTGTACCATGGAAGGCCAATACATGCGTGGGAAAGAAAGAAGTGGAAGGAAAGAAATGTTGCAGCACTTGATGGCACATGTCAAGTGCATATATATATGTGAAAAACTTCATACCAAGTTTTCTTGTGAAAGCCAGAATCCAGAAAGAATAACCCACTGAAGGGACAAGGCAGAAAGCAGAGGGGGCACCTTCCGCGGTGTTACACAGCAACGCCCTCCATGATGTCTTTGCATCCATCCAGCTCACTTCAACAAAGTCTTCAACTCATGACTGAAGCTGAGTCCCAGAAGTGTGGCTCGTTGAGAGTGGAGTAAGTTCATATTTTCCACCTGAGTTTGAGCATGACTTGCAGGGGCCTCCTTGAAGTAGAATCTCCTGGCATTGTCAAGTCTGCACTAACAGCGGCAGCACCCCTTGGAGCAATGGGAACGGAGATATTCATGCAGGGCCACATCTGTCTTAAATAACTCACAAGAAGATGTTAGTACTGATTTACAACAGCCATCATGACCCTGGCTCTATGTTTGCTGGTGGAAGTGGCAAGAGACCTTTGAGCACAGTTACTTGTTAAATAAATTTAAAGAAGCAATTTTGCAAGGGAAAATCAGTGCCATCAAAAGCATTCTAGGATTAACCCCCCAGACACACACACAAAAGTTTTCTTTTTATGACTCATGGAAATTTGGGGGCTTCTTCACACATAGTCTGTCCCACAAGTCCCCAGCTTAACCTCATAACCATTTTACTTTTAACAAAACCGACCATTGACTGGGCTGGTCAATTTACTACAAATGTATTTTTAAAATCTGTTTGGATATCACCTTGGAGAAATAACCAACTTGAGAGAATAATTCCTGTCACCCTATTAGATCAGTCTCCACAGTCAATCAAATCAGACAGCTAGCTGGCTTTTATAGAAACATTAACTCAGCATGCAGGGAAAGAAAAGTCAGGCCAGCATTTCCCATGGAATAAGTAGAAAGAAATAGTGCATCCTTTACCTTGGTCAAAGGGCTTGTTGGGATTCCAGTTTCTGAAATAATCATCCTATATAAGGGGAGAAATAGAAAGCAAAAATTAGGTTGTAGGAAGCAGCTCCCATAATTGCATGAAACCTGCTTTTCTCCCCATCTCCCCAAATGCAAAGGAAAACACTAACAGCTTAGCACATTTTCCCCCAGACAGGTATTAAAGTGCAATCAAAAATTCACAATTATCTTTTCAAAGTCTTCTCTTCCAACCTGTTTGCATTAACCACGAGGAACCATAAAAACAGTTTGGCTCCGTATGAAGACAGAATTGCTCTTCTTGGTTTGACATATAAGCCGAGACAACTTCTAAGTGCGAGGTGTATTTGCTACCAGTTATACTGCCGGTGATGCCTTGCTGCTCTCACTGATGATTAAACCTCTGGGTTTGTAACAGCTGAGAATCCAACTGTCAACATTTCTTTTACGTGCAGACATGTAGCAAGTGGTACACAGTTTGTTTTCCAAAGCTCAGAAGACCCAAAACAAAGGGCCCCTCAAGTGTTAGACTTAACGTGTAGGATAGACCTACCTTGGAACCATTTGTTCCAGGTATACAAAGACATCATAATAATAAAAATACAACAAAGGTTGCACACTCTGGCCTATTCACATTCACTTCCTTCAGGCAGCTTTCCACCATTTATATATTGAAGGTAGACACTCCATTGCTTTGAAATCACAAGGGCCTGGATCACCCATTCCTTCACCGCTGTGCTATCTCTTCCCCATTTCCAATGACCCTTTCTTTCAAAAAAAAAACCCTTCGATTCCTACCCTCAAAGTCCACCAGTTCCCCCGATTCCCAGCATCCTCACTACGTCAGCAAAACTGAATACAGTCTGCAAGGTAAAGAGGCATCACCCATGCACCTCCGCCCCACCCGACCTTCAGGGCAGGTGCTTCTTTTTCAGTTGATTTCCTACTGAATGCACCCAAATGTATTTGCTGTGGTGTTTTTGGCAGGTACTCTGCATGCTGCAGACAGTTTCAAGGAGCTGTCCAAAAGGAGGCTTCAATTTCTCTTCCTGAGAAGTCAATTTACATCAAAGTGCACAATTAGTTTAAATTATCGTCCATGATGTCTGCCGCTGCAGTCTATCTCCGACATGGTCTCCTCCGCATTTCATCGGCTCGGTGTCGCTCAATTACCTGCCTGTATTAGATCCTTGTTGAGTCCACCTAAGCCCTTCGATAGATTTTAGGAAACCGGGTTTAAAGTGAAATTAGAACATATTGCATCTTGGGCAGTGATTCCATTTTCCAGAGCATGAATAAACATGAACAGGTTCTTCGGGATCCTGGGGCCTCAGTAGTGAATTCTTTTTAACTCCAAGGAATTAGCCTGCTTGGCTGTCTTTAATTGGATAGCATCACTGGCCTTCTCCCCCCTCTGGCTAGGCAGTCTTTGAGGTCTACCCCAGGACCCGTCATGGAGACCATTTAAAATAATCTCTCTGCAAAATCCTCTCCACTTATTAGTTTAGGCACAATCCTAATCTTTGGAAACCTCGCTTTTAGAAAATCTACAGCTTGTGTTAAATGACTCTAAGCTAAGTGCAGAATTACAAGTGGGACATTTAGTACTCAATTGCTCAGTTTTCTGACCAATGTGCTCTTAGCCCTGGACAACCAAGAAATTCTGTTATTCATAAAGGCAAAAGAAAAGATAACCCAGGATGAAATCATTCTCACCACTGGAGAAAAAGTATAATGAAATGTTCATCCTTCCAACAGTGGTTCATCAAAGCCCTCTTCACACACAGAGGATGACATTGTGTCCCATGGCAATTTGGAGTCCTGTGAATTATTTTCTACTTAAGCATGCTGTCCTAATACATGGAAGCCCCAGGACCTTTAGGCTCTGGGTCTAATAAGGAAGGGCTGGGGCCAAAGACAAGTGCCTTAACTTTAATTTCACATGTCACCTTCTCTTTGGTGGCAAATGAAAGGTTTGAGCAGCTCTCAAGAACTGAATATTCCCTACTGATTTCAACAGACTTTCTACCCTGGATGGCATTAGAAGCATTCTTCCGGACCTTGTCACTTTTCCAGGTTAACAATAATTGCCATTTTTACATATTTCTTGGGGAGAATTATAATTTTTATGTGTAAGGCTTCTGAAAGCATATATCTGTATTAGAATATTTTAAAATCATTGCAAATGTAATACTACTGCCTAATTGCTGCCCAAATGTGAAAGTACACCTTGAGTGAAAACTCATTATGCAAAGCAAGTCCTTCAGACAGCCCCTGGCCCAGCAAGGCCAACCAGGGAAGGAAGATGATTGTCTACATCTGACCATCTTTGCCCTGCTGTAGCAAAGCGGTTTGCTGAGGCAGAATCCAAGGAGCCAGCAGCTGAAAAGTAACTTTGGACATAACTTCCTTCTCATTGGCTGAAAGAGAATAGCCCACATCACTGCGACTCAGGGGTCATGAGCACATGGGAAACTGCTCACGGCACCAGATCCGACTTGGGGGATGGTCAGTGAGCAGGATGGGAGTTGGGGTCTCTGAGTAGGCACTATTGCAGTTATAGTCAGACTATGAGCATCCGGAGCTGTGGTGCAGTGAATTGTTTAATTATGTAGTCAGAATCTTTGTGACTCCCACCAAAAGCCTGGGTAGACTGGGTGTGTTTTCTCTTTTCCTGATGGGTTTGAGTCCGAGAAAAGCAGGGAAGATGCTTCACTTGTAAATGATAGTTAGCAGGGTTCATTGTAATTGTAAAGCCATGGAGCTCTGCCGGGGGATTAGTCAATTCTAGGGAGTCCCTGATGGCTTAGTGAGTTACCAATTGGGCTGCTAACTGCAAGATCAGTAGTTTGAAACTACCACCACCCCAAGGGGGTAAGAAATAAGCCTATCTATTCCCATAAAGGACAACAGTCCAGTAAACCCATAGCGAAACTTCTACTCTGGCCGTTAGCATCGCTGTGCGTCAGAATCGACCAATAACAGTGAGTTGAAGTTTTGGAGCTGGCTGGAAAATGAGTCATCTCGGAAGCAGGAGTATGTGGTGGGGGAGATCGCATTACCATCAAGAAAGAAGAACTAGAAGTGCAGCACATCCCTTTGCCCCAGATCCCTGCACATTGAACTTCCTGGACCCAGGGCGCAAACTCCTTGACCCCAGAGAAGCTGCAGAAGAGTGGCACCAGCACCAGCAGAAGCGAGAGCACGAGACAAAGAGGTGGGCATCCTGAGAAGAGGGAGCGAAGCGGAGGATGGCTGTGGGCAGGCTCTCATTGGGATGCCCTCGTGCACTTCACTGAGGACCTAGGTTTGCTAGCCCACAGAGCTACAGCTGAGTGCCTCTGGGCTGAGGCTTATTAGAGCAGGGTGTCTTTTGAGGATTTATTGGCAGAACTAAAGGCACTCTATAAATCTTGCTTGAGCAGGGCAGAAGCCAAGGGGCATCATGGCTGAGAGGCCTCTGGGAAGGGGTTGTCTTGACTTAAGAACTGTGTCATGAGCATTTCTGAACCTCCAATGTGATCTGTTTACTTCCCTAATGAAGCCCGTCATCACGCATATGGTCTATGGGTTCTAGGTGGCCGTCGCTGGGAATTCTCTACAGCAGCCGAGCAGCAGAGTGTGCGGCGGCAGTGACGGTTGGCGTCAGAACTGGTCAAGGAGAGGGCAGGCATGACTACCCGACCCCTGCCTCATAGCAAGAGCACTGGGCTGACTCTCCTTCCTCCTTGTGAGGTCGCAGGATGGCTGATGCCACCTTCTGCCCCTGACACACACCGTTTTCTTGGAGCACGGGTGACTCCCTCTCCACCCTGCTTTAACGCAGTCCAGGAATCCTGCACACAGGAGGAATCCAAGCTGGCTTGGGCTAGATGTATTCATTCACCCTCCTGTCTGGGGAGCAGCATCCAATCCCATGTTGAAAGAACCAATGAGAAAGAAATGCCGCTTCAGAGCTTCACCTCTTGAGAATCTGCTCATCTGAGTCCCACTTGCAGACTACGGTACCTCCAAGAGCCTTGGGGAGCTGGATTGCTGACTCAAGAAGTTAGAAATGAGTGCCCTTGGGCTGAGGCTTATGGCTGAGGGGAATAACCTTTGGGCATTTATCAGCAGCACTACAAGAGCTTTGTAACAATTCCCTGAAATCAAACCTTCAACCTGGTTACTCAAAGGCCACCAGGTCAGCGATCTGGGGTTCTGAACCAACCTTCTATTCAGACCAACCCAAACTCACTGCTCTCGAGTATATTCTGACTCATAGCAACCCTGTAGGACAGGGTAGAAATGCCTCTGTGGCTTTTGAGACCAGCTCTTGATCGCAGTGGAAAGCCTTGTCTGTCTTCTACAGAGCAGCTGGTGGATACAGAATGCTGACCTTGCGGTTAGCAGCCCAGCACGGAACCACTACGAGCCCAGCGCAAATCGTTTTATTGGAGCCCAGGGTCCTGGTGGCATCAGGCTAGCTTTGCTTTGCTTTTCTATTTAACTGATACTGCTTTGTATAGCCTTAAGCAGACCCATGACTAACTGCACTGTGGATACTGTGAACTGTTCGACCAGTTTTCTAACAGTTATACTTCCCACACCAGGTGCCTTCCCCACCCCACCTTGAGGCTGCACTGTGTGAGTGTGTGTTCCACATGTGTGTGTATTAGATCAGAGATCGGGTCAGCCCCCAGAGAAGTGGAAGCTTTTCAGAGCCCTGACCTCTGACCTTTCCTCTGGTCCAATAAAGTAGTGGTCTTTTAAAATTCAGAAGGTGGTAAAAGGCATATTGGTTATGTCAGATCAAACTTGCCCGAGTCTGCCTCTTGACTGGTAATTTTATCATCTAATGATGAAGTTATCTTTTTCCCTAAGCCATGCAAAGACCACAGCAATGGTTAGTTGTTTTTTTTAAATATGAACAAATGAAATGATATGCATCTAAATATTGTCATTTATTAAACTCAGAAACTCCCATTAATGCATCATAAAGGCTGAGGAATGAAGGATGGCAGTGTTACTCTACATGTATATTTTATAGGCTAAACTACATAATGTTAATTAAGCTGCAATGCGATTGGACAGGGCAGAGGAGGAATGAGAAAGTCTACTTCTCTAGACCCTTTTATAATTAAAAATTACCAACTCTGTTTAGGGACTCTTAAAATCCATTTAAATGAGTTTTAGACTTGGGATCATTGGCTTCTGTGTTCTGGGACATGAGAATATAGCATGTCCTAGAATACAGAAACCAATGGAAAAACATCATCATAAAGATCATGATACAACAGAGACAAGCCATTACATGCCTAGCACAAGGACAAGTCCTTGGGAGAGCCCATCAGACACTGAACAGAGAACATCCCTAGATAAGAGGCATCCAAGAATCAAAGATTGGGAGAATCATGGCCCCAATTGGTTTTGCCCATATATAGCTTATCAATGTAAATAAAACTCGATTTCTTTGCTTATCACTTTAATTAAATTACCTCACTAGCATAGTACTGTTTCCTGTGGATTGGTCACCCAGTGGCTCATGGAAAGGACCTTGGCTCTGGGTTTTCAACTACTTTAGAGGTTTCCTATTCTGATAAGCATTCATGGAGGGCAAGGCCATTTTAAAATATTTATATACAGAGTCATGTGGGCAGAGGGGTTATGCATCCAGCTGTCTCTCCTCTCAAGAGAGACATGTTTCCTATTCCTGTAAAGATTTACAGAAAACCACAGGGGCAGTTCTACCCGGTCCTGTGGGGTTGCTATGAGTCAGCATTGTACTGACCGTAGTGTTGGGTTTGTTATACATTAACCAATGAGCATTCTTCTCCTCACCAATGGAAGCCTCAAGTCTGCCTAACATGCAATAATGCAAACATACGGATGCTATATTTTGGGTGATTACGTTTCTTCTTCATGGGTGATCTTAACAATCAGAAAGTCTAAGGCTCCAGCCCATTTTGAAAAGGAACCTGATGTCCTCATCTCCTGTGAGTCCATACAAGTCCCCAGATGGCTGATATAACTTACTAACAATATTCTCTGGGGACTTGCCTTTGGGGCGATACATTTTTCAGTCCCAAAGAGAGTCACAGCAGACGTTGGGGACGAGGAGGATGGCAGAGCCAAATGCAAGCCCTTTTGAAAGCCAAATATTTTACTTCTGATTATGACCATAATTTATTATGTGTACACCATAAAGCCTCAGATGCTACAGCTCAAAGGCATTTACCTCACATGAAAATCATAGTTTCTCCATCCTACATATTTTATCTAAGCTGTTTGAATGAACACAGAAGTTTCAACTAAGGATTACCTGAGATAATGCAAATTACCAGCCTAGAGAATAAATGGGAGTTTTGTCTGCCTCAGTCAGGAGTGAGCCAGCATCATGAACAGAGGAAGCAAGGTGAAGCCAGGGCTGAGCCCAGGCCTGCTGCAGATGGACAAACAGAGAAACCCTTTCTACAAGGCCTGGTGGACCCACGTTGGACTTTTCACTGCTTCATCCTGGATGGAGGTAGGCCCACTTCACTAAACTCCAAACCCTTCAGAAAGAGGCTGATTAAGGGACTGTCACCAAATCGTTCTCAAAGGACTCCAATGCAAATGAGTTTGGTTAATTTTTAAGCTTCTTAACTAGGGAGACTAGGAAGAGAGCTGATTGTGGGTTTGGGGGTGGGAGGAGACTCTGAAATGATAATAGAAGTCCCTGGAAAAATTAGATTTCCAGAATATACTATATAAATCCATCCTTGCATAATGTAACATTTGCCTGTAGTTTTAATTTATTTGCACAGGAAGCACACTAAGCTAGCTACTAAAGCACTCCATTTAATGGGGAAAGAATCTGGCTTCCCATACAACTGCCTCTAAGGTGTCTCCATTCATATCTCTGGTCAAGCAATTTTCTGCCTCTTCTCAATGGGGCTGGCCCTTTCCTATGCCAAGTGAAGAATCCCAGTGAGAATCCTTCTGAATAATGTGGCACAAGCAATCGGTCCCAGCTTGAGCAATGACTTGAGGCCTCCCATCCTTCTCCCTGCAGACAGCAGAGACTGAAAGCTATATGCATTCACACATTTCCATGTGCTTGTATCACCCACATTATGAGTACAGCCTAGGTTACTCTGAGCAGGGCTGGGTCTTACTCACCTACACATTCCCTGAAGCATCACTAATAGCACACATTAAATCCTTGCCAAATTGTATCAAATAGAAATTGGTACACCTTTATTAACACCCCTATAGCCCCATGAAAGTCCCATGACTGTCACAGAGGTATGTGGTTAGAGGGGGTGGGGGGAAAGGAGGATAGGGGTGTGTGTGTGTGTGTGTGTGCGCGCGTGAGAGAGAGAGAGAGAGAGAGAGAGAGAGAGAGGTGGGTGTCTGTTTATACACACACTCTAAATCACTTTCATCCTGAATAGAGCAATTCTTTGATAAATTGGTCTGACATTTGGTTTAAAGTCCTACAGGCCTTAGACAAAATGATTTAGAAAATAACAATGTCAGTTTCTCTGCTCTTTCAATAAATAACCCACCAGTAAAACACAGATAATAACTGACAATCATACTTGTACTGTAACTAATGAGAAAAGATAAAGCAACAAATGGACTGTTTATATGCATTTGATAAATTGCATCCCCTGGATATACCAATGAAAAATAAATATGCACAGTGCTGGTTCACTGAACTAAAACAAATATTTACCACTGAGATTTAGGACTTAGAATGAAATTTACATTTTATTTGGCAACGATTTTCAATGCTACATCTACACACAGTTGAAAAGTCAAAAACCTACCTCAACTTCCTGAGTACGAAAGCATTATAAATGAGAAAAAAAATAAAAGAATGATATCAAACAGTAGGCAGGAATGTAAACATAATTGCATCAAAATTTCAAATCATCATAACATTAGAAAAGCCCAAACCAGGTATTTTCCTTCAGTCACCTACCATCATCCCTTTGAAAAGGCCCCACCCTTCATGAAGCTCATGGGAAAAGACATTAGGTTATTGGAAAGAACAACTGAAGTGGGGAGAAATCGGAGTGTGCTCTAGTGAGCTATGTCATTACTGCAGAACAGCTAGCAAAACCATGATTGAATCGAAATTCTCAGTCATGGTTACTTTCTACGGGAATTTCAGATGAATAACTGCTTGTGACATCACTTTAAACGGCCAACTTCAATCAAAATCCCCAATTGACATCAGAGACCAAGAGTGATAGACTATCTACATTTCTTCAAAGACATTCGTTTGTCTTGCGATTCTCAAGTAACTTGAGGAAATCTAAAAGCTGAGGTTGATGTGGGCTTATGGTCTTGGTAAACATGTAAACTGAAAAAGAATACCAAGGTCCCTCTAGCGCGGTGGTTCTCCACCTTCCTCATGCCGCGACCCTTTCATACAGGTCCTCATATTGTGGTGACCCCAACCATAACATTATTTTCATTGCTACTTCAGAACTGTAATTTTGCTACTGTTATAAATCATACTGTAAATATCTGATATGCAGGATGTATTTTCATTGTTACAAATTGAACATAATTAAAGCACAGTGATTCATCACAAAAACAATCTGTAATTATATATTGTGAAATATTTATTTCTAATGACAAATAAATGGAATTTTGTCTTGAAGCATGGTGTGGCATGGGTAACAGTCTTCACTCTGGCTACTCTTATGTGGGCGTATCTGCATGTGGGAGGAACCACCTGCAGACGGATAGAGGAGCGGTGTCTCCGCTCCTAAGACCATTAGAAATGTGTTTTCCGATGGTCTTAGGCGACCCCTGTGAAAGAGTTGTTCGACCTCCAAAGGGGTCGCAACCCACAGGTTAAGAACCACTGCTGCAGCTGATAGGAGGAATAGAACTATCACTTTTAATTCCAACCAAGTTGTAAAGTATATTGAAATCAAACCCTTCTTTTACGCCATTACTTCTTTGTCTGTCTCGGTTGGCCTATCTGGGCTAAAGGGTAGTAACCATTAACTGGGCCTTTCCCAAAGAGAATAAAAGTCTGAACTTCCTCTCCCCTATCAACCCCCCATTCCCCGCTGTACTTGAGTATTCTTCGGAGCTGTGACTGGTAGATGGTGCTCCGTTTGCACTCTGAATATGACAAGGGGTCGCTTCAGATTCAAAGCCACCAGACTGTGTTAGACAGGGTTCTCGAGAGAGGTAAAACCAGATTGCTGATAATTTTATATATATATATATACACATATCTATTTCTTGTGATATATCACAAGAAATGAACTGTTAAATTATAAACAGATAGATAGATAGATAGATAGATGATAGATAGATAGATAGATAGATAGATAGATAGATAGATAGATAGATAGATAGACAGATAGATAACACAGAAACGAACAGTTAAATGGTAAAGCAGTACAAATGGCTCAGAAGAAGCCAGAGCCGTGGCGTCAAAGGCAGAGCAGGGAGCACAAGCAGGGAAGTCCCCGGCAAAGCTGTAAGTTCCAGTCCTGCCTCCAGAGATTGCCAGCTACGTGACCCTACACAGTGCACTCAGCTTCTCTGGTTGCAGCTGCCTTCACCATTCAACAAGATCGCAGCCACCTACCTGGAAGGATAGGCACAACGTCTTGCAATGATGAAGTGAAGTGCTTGGTATATTGTCTGGCACATATATATTCGATAAATAACAGATATACGCTTTCATGTCCAGCTCCATGGTTATGTCCCAAGAACAATGAGGTAAACTTTAAGCTTTGTGGAGTAATAATACGTTAAAAATTTCAACAATGTGATTTTTTAACACATTTGAATCTTGCCAAGTGAAGGGAGACCAATTGCAACTACAAAAACTAATTATGAAATATTATAATTTTATTGGGTTCCAGGGGAGAAAGTTCAATGAAATTTTAAAACTTGAATTACAGGTATGTAATTCTTTAAAGGCCAGATTTGCATCTTGCAGGACTCAGTGGCCATGTCTATTAAAAGATGATCTGTCCACCGGCGGGCTCTTTGTGAGGGAGGCCTTTGGAACTATTGTAAGCTATCACAGATTATAGGAGGATAAGCAAATGAATTGAAGTTTCAATTACAATTAAAGAGAATCAGAGAAGGGGACTGGATCTGCTCTGACCAGGCAAAATGGCTGTGTAACCATCAATTTACATGTACAAAACAGATGGTAGAATCCTGAAAGCGTCCGTCTCATTGGCACCCCTTACGAAGAAGGCCCTTGCCATCTTGTAGCGGGTAGCACGTCAACTTTTACTTTGCAGAAAGTACGAATTATACTGGCCTGAAGCCCAGCCTTGTCCAAGTATCACAAATTCCAAATTAATTAGGTCTCACCATCTTTCTGAGAATGTCAACCACACCCCCTGGCAGAACTCCATAAGCATCCAGATGCTACCTTTTAGAGTAAAAACCACCAACTAATAGCTATTATCTCAGCCCTTCCTCCCCAACTATCATCTATGGGAGGTGCCAACCACAGGAACTAGCTAAAAGCAGTGGTTCTGGCTCTTGGCTTCACTCACTGATAGCTGGGCCTCATCCTGGAGATGCTGATATATGGTCTGCAGTGGGTCTCAGCATTGAGAGTTTTGAAGATCCCCAGGTGACTCAAATGTGCAGTCCCCAATGGGATTCAAGAAGTCACACACTTAGTGACTGAGACCAGATGTCTAACAAGAATAGCAAACCAGGTGCAGCCCAATAGAAGGCATCTCCCCCAGCCTTGAGCACTCGCTAGTTATTTCCTCCTCCACCCTCACAGGATCTGCTCTCAAGGTGTCCCCAGCTTAGTAATGAGAACCTCTGTCCACCTGCAGGTAAGACCCAGGCCAAAGACTGGACTCATCCACTCTCCTTCCCTTTATCTTTCAAACAGACCCAGAATCTGATCCATTCTCACTGATAGATCTCTTTCCCAGCTCCCCATTTGTCTGCACTCACATAGCCCTACCCTGCTTCAGCATCTCCTCAGATCACCGCCATATGCTCTAGTCAGCCTTCCACCCTTGCCCAAGCCATTCTCTACACTGCTCTAACAGGGGCCTTTCTGTATTTTGTTCGTCTGGTTTGGTCCTGGACCACCCTATATCCTCTTCCATGTCTGAGCCTTTGCATTTGCTGTTCCTGCTCTGTCTGACTATGGAGATCATGCTTTAACCAGGACGCCAAACTGCCTGGACAGCCCCAGGCAGGGGAAAGGGAGTGAGGGTGACACATTTGGAGACTGCAGACCTTGGGAAAAGACATGGGGCTAGGTTACTTCAGAGATGGAGCAGGAAGTTGGAAGGAGCTACCAAGGGATGAGAGATTAGCCCACGTGGCAGAGGCCTCCCAAAAGATGCTCTCCCGATTGGCTCCCTGACTTTTAGTGTACAAGGGCAAGTCAAAAGAGTAATGCTACAATATGACAATTATACAGTGCTATAATATTGTTGTTAGGTGTTGCCCAGTTAGTTCTGACTCACAGCCAGTCTATGTACAACAGCACAAAACACTGCCCAGTCCTGCACCACCCTCACAACTGTTCTTATGTTTGAGCCCATTGTTGCAGCCACTGTGTCACTCCATCTTGTTGAAGGCCTTCCTTTTATTTTTCCCCACTGCCCTTCTACTTTACCAAGCGTGATGTCCTCATCCAGGAACTGATCTCTCCTGAAAACATGTCCCAAGTACATGAACTGAAGTCTCACCACCCTTGCATCTCAGGAGCATGCCGGTTGTACTTCTTCCAAACAGATGTTTGTTCTTTTAGCCGTCCATGATACTTTCCATGTTCTTTACTATCGTCATAATTCAAATACATCGATTCTTCTTCAGCCTTCCTTACTCAATAGCCATCGTTCACATGTATATGAGGTGATTAAAAATGCCATGGCTTGGTTCAAATGCACCTTAGTCCTCAAAGTAACACCCTTGCTTGTCAACACTTTAAAGAGGTTGTATGCAGCAGATTGACCCAGTGCAACGCATCGTTTGATCTCTTGACTGCTGCTTCCATGAGCATCGATTGTGGATCCAAAATGAAAGAAACATTTTTTTCAACAAGAATACCACATTTTGAAGCTAGGTTTCTCAACATATCCTCTATCTCGGTCTATACACTTCTGAAGGTGGTGTTTTGCTCTCTCTAATCCTTCCACCATAGAATTCTGCTCTCTTTGGTTTATAGTACATCAACGTGGCAGCCCAGACAGCCTTGAGGCATCAAACCATGTACCTTTTAAATGGTCTGTGAGCTTTGGGAACAGAAACAGAATCTGAAGGGGCAAAATGAGGGTGGATGGAGTTGATATCCCCAAATAAATTCCCATGAGACAGCCCTGGGATAAAAAGCCCTCTAAGAATGAGTAGGTTCATTGTTGTGATGAGAAAAAAAAAAATCCCTCAGCACAACTTCCCTGGACTTTCTCTGACCAGTTTAGTTTTCAATTTTTGGAAAATTTCTTCATAATAAGCCCCCATGATTGTCCTGTGTCCTTCAAGAAAATCCATCAAGAGCCTGCCTTTGGAATCCAGACAAATGATCACTATAGCCCTTCTGAGCTGACCTCTCCACTTTGAATTTAATTGGCCTAGCAATTATCAGACACCACTGTTGGGACTGAACCTTTTGTTAAAGGCACCATAAAACAAGACTAAGGCTAATGTCTTCCTGAGAGAACCTGTCTGAAGTTGCCCATTGATCCCAGAGACGTGTTTAAGCACATTTTGTTTGGAATAAAATTAATTTCATGCATGTATGAACTGGAACCCCGGTAGCAATATCTCTTTTTTATTTACCCTGGGGTAGGAAACCTCACCTTCCCCACCTCTGAGATGATGGAGCACCAAGTTCATGACCGTCGATCATGTTCCTGGTCCAGGAGAGCATCAGCTCACTCCGGGTTCCTGGTCCACCCTAATGAAGAGAGCTTTCTGGACAAAAATTCTGGTCTTCAGGCCTGCCAAGGTCTGCTGTCCAGACAGGTCCTCTCAGTGATGCTGCAGGGCAGGCCAGCAGGGGAGGCCAGGTGAGTTCTCGGTTTTTGTGAGCAGTAGACTGAATGTTCACACCTGTCTGCTGCTGGCACTCCCTGGGGGCCAGTTCAAAATGGAACATCCAGCATTAAAGCACTGCATGGAAGATGTGGCTTTGGCACCAGCCATTTCTCTGAAAACCTCCGGCCACAGACTGCATGAAAGTTTCATTACCTGCACAGCTAGGGCTGCTACAATTCCTCCCAACCCTGCCACTCAGCCTCTTCTCTTCGAAGGAACATCTGATAAAGGGTAACAATAAAGATTCTGCGTCCCTAAAGCTGCCCAAGCACCTTGTCAGCCCTATCCCATGTGCTGAGACACCACTCACATAGCAGATACTCCTCATTAAAGACCCAGGAATAAATCTTTTCAAGGTCTTTTGGCCATTCCAAGGCAATGGTATCAGAGAGTTGGCATCTAAAATTTGCATTTTTGAGATGGCATGTCCCTGTGATAAGAGGTATCCAGAGTTCCAGAAATGAACCCCCACTACCAAACCACAGTCCACTTCTACAATCACCAACAAGGCCTCCATGAAGAAGGGTGGGCACCGCCTCTCTGAGGTACAGTCATTACTGAAACCAAAGATCACCATGGAAGTAGACCCATAGTCTGAGCTTGATTCAACACTCTCCACTGGCCTATATGCCTGAGGACTGTTAATTCCAATAAAAACTAGGTCAGGGGGACTTGCATGACCTTTCTTGTCACCCAACAAGCACTTATACAACTATGAGATTGATACAACACAATCGCCCTCTGGCCCCCCTTACTCCCTCACATTGCTACATGAGATGATAAAGAGATCCAGAAAACATAAAGAAATGACCACAAGATGCTTCAGCCAGGCTGTGCTTTTGGGAATTTGCTTATCTGATTCCTTGCACAGATAGAAAATGCACTTACATCACACAGACAAGATGGCAAACCCACAGACCCTACAAAGAACTCTTTTCACACCAAGAGCAATAGATGTGAGTGTGAATGAGACCTCCAGGAGGAATCTAGTACCCATGATCAAGGGATCAATGAACACCAATGTTCACTCCATGAACAGCAAGCTACCTTATTCCCCTCCAGGGGGATTTCCATGATCTAGCTACCCTCAATGAAGGCCTAGGGTAGCCACAGAGACAGTGACATTACGTCTAGAAAGAACCAATGGGGGCCAAAAAATAGAGAACCGTACAACCCAATGAGACATCCACACAATCCAATAGACCAGTGGTTCTCAACCTGTGGGTCTCGACCCCTTTGGGGATTGAATGACCCTTTCACAGGGGTCGCCTAAGACCATCAGAAAACACATTATGATTTACGGTATGATTCATAACAGTAGCAAAATTACAGTTATGAAGTAGCAACAGAAATAATTTTATGGTTGGAGGTCACCACAACATGAGGAACTGTATTAAAGGGTTGCAGCATTAGGAAGGTTGAGAACAGCTGCTATAGACACTGGGGGGGGGGGGGCTTTTTTAGGAGCTGTCTCTTCTCTCTCTCTCTCTCTATTTCTCTCTCTCTCTCTCTGAGATAGATTAGAGGTACTCAAATGAAATCAAGGACAACAGTGGCAAATTTTGCTCGCTCTCCATGTGCACAGTCACAGAGCCTGTGAAAGTTGCCTGTCCTGCGCCAAGCCAGAAAACAGCACATATGTCCCTGAAGTCCACAGAGTGTCTG